TCCCGAGCCCGGGAATCGCTACCTGCCCCGCTTGGTTCCGCCAGGAAAGCGCGGCCGCCCTTTCACCCCCGCGGCGGCAGGAAAGGGAGGGACGGGAAGGGGAGGGCAATGGCGCCCGCCCAGCTTTCTGCGTTGCCGGGGAGTTAAACGCTTAAAAAAAAAGGGCGGCTAAACCTTAAAACGCAGCAACCCTCGTGTATTAATTTGACAGAAGCAGACGGTAGAAGAAAGCGTGCACACACAGGCCCAGGCATGGTGGTTAAGTATTTTATGTTTATTTAGGTTTAAGTCTTGAAAATTTAAAAAGTCATACAGTTATAAACAAGCATTTTTGCATTCAGCTTTGTCAAAAAAAAAATCAACATAGGAAGTAGGCACATAGTTGTTAAGAGAACTGGACTTGATATCTTACAATGGTAATCAACTGGTCAAATAAAGTTTCCAAGTCTGTATTAAACACTTATGTCAAGACATACATGAAAGTTAAACTATTGCACCACCAAGATGAATATATGTTCTTTACCTAGTGAGTGATATTGCATACGGACAATCAGATGTATCCATGTTTTTCAAAAGTCACACTACAAAGGCAAGGTAATTCCAAGTACTCCAAGGAGAGTAAGGTTGGGAATATGTAGTAATGAACTAGACCAAACTGCATAATTTGTAATTTGTCCCCTCACAGCCCTGTCAGATTTCTCAGTGAAAGTTTGTGGGCAGATACTAACACACCTTAAAAGTCTGCAATATGAGCAGGAAATCCAGAGAAAGCAGTTTCAACACCAAGGCCTTTAAAAAGTGTAAGAAAGTCATGCAACAGACAACTGTGCCAGATCCAAAGAGGCCATCAGTTGCCCTTCCTCCCTCCCCACCCAGTATAAAAACTTGAGCTCAGTCAGAAAACTTTTGGCCATCAAAACTGATTTATCATACCCACAAAATTTACTTTATTTAAAGCTATGCATATCGTACACATCTGCCAGAAACTTGTTTCAACCTCCAGATACCAAAACATGGTTGCCTTAAACTACAAGAGAGCCAAAAAAGTATATAAAAACTAAAAGCTATTTGCACCTTGACACCTTGCATTTGTCGTCAGCATGACAAATTTGCAAACCAGGAGCAGATATCACTTAAGCTTTTAGTCTAACATATACAAGAGATAGCTTTACTGATCCCATACCAATTTCAAATGAGGAATTACTGCAATAAAAAAAAAAATCTGTGCGTTTGTTATGTTTGTACAAGTGCAACATTCAACAACTTCAAAATACAGGGAAACAAAAGAATAATTACAATGATTTATTCAGTACATCAGAGGCAATTCTTAGAACACTAAGAAAAGGACTTAAGTAGAATTTGCAGTTGGTCCCTCATGTTAACATCTTAATATCAGCAGTATAAACCCCAAGCTTGATTTAAAGGAAAGCTTTCCATCTTGAGAAACAAGTAATATAACCCTGCATTACAGGGACCATATGCAACACTACTTGACCACAGGGGCCTGAACTTTTACCAAGGTTCTAGACAGACCACTCAATCACCCAGTTCAGCACACAGTTATAGCATTCTCTGGGGCTTTAACACTTTATTCAGACTCTTTAAGTGTTCCTAACAGATGAACTTCTGGACTGAAACCAGATGTCCTGGCTTCTGGGTTAAACTGTTCTTACAATCTGTAGCTAGCACTTAGTCATAGATGGAGTCTCCAGCTCACTGAAATTATTGGCAAAAATCCCCCAACCATTTTAAGTTTCATTCTATGTTAATACCTGCAATGCCAGTCTGTAAATATGAGTCCCTAGGCAGGTCCATTTTGAAAACAACACTTGTTCTTAAAAGTAAAACTAGCATGTTTTCTTGCACACACTTTACTGTTTAATGTTTACATCCATTATTGCTAGATGACAAAAGTAACTGCAGATAATACATCCGATTTTAGAAAATTTAAAATGTTTTGGTGCAAGGACTAGCTATAATTTTAATATTTGAGGATCACTTTTTCTGAAGTACTGCATACAGATTTGTCATCAGCAATTGCGGTCCATTCTTGAAAATATTCTGAATATTAGCACTCAGTTATTTGTCATGATCAATTTTAAGCAATCAACTGACCAGATGTACTCCTATGTTTTTATTTAAATGGCAAAACTTCCTATAAAGGTGGCTTGAGAAAGCCTGACCTACATGTGTGTAGTTTCAACTGCAAAGTGAATTCTATACAGTATATGCTGTGTCAACTTGTGATATAAACAGTTGTATCAGGAGAGAATTAACTTTTATTTATCTAAGAATCTGTCGATTTTAGATTCTGGAATAGCACGGATGCTCTTAGGCTGTGCTATTTGCTACATGCGCACAGTTCTGAAGAACGAGATCCTCAGCTTGCAGTAGCAGTGGGGAACTGGTTGGCTAATATCACACAAGGATGAGAGGTGGGTTCAATGCACATTGATCAGAAGTTGTGGACAGCTCTCCACAGAGCAACATTTTGTTTCATCCCTGGGGCACCAAATCATCCTTGTAGGAGCTCCTTGTCACCACTGCAGCCTCAACTGTTCTACTTACAGCCCATAGAATTTCATCCTTAAGTGCTTCCTGAACATATACACGCATTAAGACATTTCAACTGGTTGGATTTGCCAGGATATACATTTGATCAAACCTAACCTATCAGTTATTAAAATAGTAAGTGATAAACACACTAATCTTGGTAATTTACCGTCAAAGGAAGAAGTATCAGTTTTAACACATTACTGTTAAGAAATAATTGATAGTTCTGATCAACTGAGGCACAATTGTAGATGGTGACCAACAAGACATCTTTCAGTCATTTAACTAGTAAGTGTACATTTACTTACAGTGCATCAGATGTACGTATCACCAGCAAAGAAGTCTTTGTGACCTAAATATTCTATGAAGCCTAATGTGCACTCAATATAAAATGTTACTAACATTGCCCAACAGGCACATGATTTCCTGTACCTGTATTAAGTTACTGGACAGCAGGTAATCAGAATTCCCTCCAGCATCAACACACTACAGCTAACTGCCCAGAATCATTTTCAGTCCCTGTGCAAATCGCATTTTGTGGCAAGTTTCTTCAGCGCCTTAATTTAATTTGATTATAACTGGAAGCATTTGACTATGATTTAGGCATGCTTATTGCTGTAAAAGAAATAAGCCGATCTTCAGAATTATTGTGCAAGTATTTTAATAAGATTTGCACACATCTCAAAAAATTCTATTGTATGACTCCCTGGTCTTGGGGTTAAATCAGCTGTAGAAGAGTCAAGCGAAGAGGTAACTGATGAGGTAAGGGATGTATCTGCTGATTTTCCTTGTGCATCAGCATCTGAATCCTTTTGACAGGATCTGTAGTTGCTCACGGAACCTGATCTCTGTGGAGTTGCAGTCCCAGACTTTGCTTCAGTAATTTCATCTGTGAGAAAGATGAGGTAGATGGGTTATCAATATCAGATCAGGAACAGCAAATATCTTTCCCTTCTCATCTAATCCTGTTTAATCTTTGAGTATGCAAGAAGCTTTGGCAAACTGTATGCAGTTACTACAGATACTCAACAGCACTGAAGTACCAAGTTATTCCTATTCCTAAATTACTTATATTCCTAAAGTGCCCTAGCGTAAGTCATCTCTTACACAAGTGTTCCTATGTTCACAGTACTTCTCAACTATGTTCCAGGGCTATTTGACCTAGTTCAGCCCAGCACAACTTGACATTTTTACACACTAATTTCCATGGCTAATTTTTCAACTGCTTTAATAGTTCACTTAATCCATCTTTAAGCTTAACCTTATGATGCTAGCCCTCCTCACAATTACATAATATATAGTTAAGTAACATTTCAAACACTTTGCAGATGCTTTTGTCAGCATTCAACTTATCCTTCACTTTTGGAAAGATTTTTCTGTAGTATGTTGCATGCTTGGGCTGCAGGGACTTAAGTTTTCCTCCATTAAAAGGAAGAAATATTTCTATTTTAAGTAATAAAATTCTGCAGATTTACTTCTGTTCTTGCTTTAAATGCTGTTGGCAGTAAGATGGTATTTCCTAGTTAGCACAAGGAGGGACTGTCCTTTCAACAGCACTCAGAGGTGCTTCTAACTACCATTAGAGCAGAGGAACACAGAACAGTTAGCTAAGGCAGAGGAAAGAACCACAGATCTGCTTCGCTCTTGGAAGGTGGATGTCAAATCCACTTCCTTGGGTTGCATTTCTGCAAGAGCTGAAGCTATGACTGCAGCAGGCTGCCTTTCCCCATCTCCATGGCTCTACATGTTCCTCTTCCCTCTACCAGGGCTGAGACTCATCTCACACAGCAGCGGGCAAGGGCAGGAGAGTGATTAGCCCCATTAACAAGTACCACCAGATCTAAGCAAGCTCCCATATTATCAGAAGAGATGAGGCAAGACAGCACTGCCAGGTCAGATGATGCTAAAATGTCAAACACAGCCTTAGCTGTCCTATACTGCAATCCAGACACACTCCAGCAAACCCTTCTCCTAAGCTACATGTTTCTCTAGGCATGTTATGAACACTATTAGTAGTATATAATTTTGTTGTTCTGCTACTATACTCTTAAATAGTTATGGACAGCCTACATTACCTCCACCATTCATTTCCATGAGTTCGCAATTCAGTTACATGATGTACATGGGTCTTAGTCCATAAAGTTAGAGCTTATTCTATAGGTTAAGCCACTTCTTTCAAGAATTACTGCAAGTGGATAATTATTGTCTCAAGTTTTGCCTACTACAGCACTAGATACAAAATATACAACCTGACCATCTAGCATGAAAATTTGATTTCAACTCTATCCTCACCAGAAGGAATATTCACCTGCTTACCCCAGATCTAAATCAACACTCAAATCCAGGGGCAAGGCCCAACAAGCAGTTTAGGCTGATCCAAATCTAGTCTTTCAAACCTGTCCCTTTTTGCACCAGTAGCATTAATGCTGGTGCATACAGGAGTCAATATAGCTTAAAAGCTGTTATTTTTAAATGGATGAACCAGCTAACCATGTGGACTCAGATACAACAGACAAGGAGAGAAGGAAGTAAAATACCAACTCAGATTTAGATCAGCTTAGACTGATAAACTTTTCTATCCAAGTGAATTGAGACACGCAATAGAAATCATTTTAAGTGTACACCACTCCAGTAAGTTATCTAGTCTTCACATACCATCAATGCTACGGAAGTCCAGCAAGTACGTCCTACTGTCCACCTGATACAACTGTAGACTCATCTTAGAATATGCACTTGTCACTGGATTCTTCCTTCGAACACGCAAATAGTATGGATTTACAACCTAGTACAGAAGAGATTTGAGTGAGTTTCTACTAAAGCTTCCCCAGAAAAAAAAAGAGGACTGCATGAGTTTTTCTCCTCATTTCAACTCACTGGTTACAAACAGGTAATTTCTATCTGTCTTTTGTTGGAATATTGCTGTGTTGGGGGCAGGGGGGGGACAAGAAAGGAGAGACCACCAACCCCCCACCATCAGAAAGATCAGACATCAGCAAGACCTTTTCTACCAGCATAAACTGCAATCAAAAGCCCCATGTACGCATAGGTACACCAGATTTTCCAGTAGAGAAGCATCAAGAGAATATTAATTTCCAAGTTTCTAGACTATCTATAACTGAAAAGTTTACTGCTGTCTGTTACAAAGATCCCTTATCGCCTTACTTTCCATTCATAATCCAGTTGTTTAATTGCTCGACAAACTTCAGCCATGATATCGTTTGGTCGACTCTGGCTCCGTATTCCTAAATGCCACTTGGCTCTTCTCACACCTTGATGCTTTGATTTCTGTGGATTCAGTTCATCAAGAGTGTGGCGAGGACGTGGTGCTTCAGCTACCAAGAATGGCACTCTTTCAGGATGAGGGCGAGACAGATGGTGATCTTCAAGAAAAGAATCTGGTGGGCTTGTAGCCAAATAGAAGTCTTTGGCCTCGTTCATTATTCTTCTATTATCTATAATGAGGTGATAAGCAACTGCTAGGGGATCCTGATGATTTCGGCTGTATAGACAGCTTAACACTTCATCTTCAGTGCATTCAAACTTCTCGCATACTTCTTTTAAGGCTTCTTCATCAATCATGGTTGAGCTATAGGATGGGTCTTCAGGAAACAAGTATTTGGGAAGATCCTGCTTAAACCATTCATGTTCCCTAGATTAAAAACATGAGACTAAATGTGTGTTCACAGTAAGCATTTTAAGAATTACATTCATTTGAAAAGGAGTCCAACTTTACAAGTAGAATATTTTTTAGTTTGCACAAAATACAGGTGTCAGTAACACGTTAAACTGTTATACCATCTACTTCAGCCTGAAATTATAAGGATTCTTCCATGCAGCACAAATGAAAACAGCTGCATGTTAAAGCAACTGGCAATCTCTGCTTTAGAGAAAAAAAAAATCATCCTCCTCCTTCACCGCATTGCAAAAGGTTACAAGACATTTACCAGGAGAGACAATTGAGTGGGCAGGAGGAGGATGGAGGGAACCCACACACATTTTCCTAAGTGTTAAAATTACCTGACCTCCTAAAACATCTTAATGCAAAACTCAACTAGCTTTATCCACACACACACTTGTTTTGAGAGTGAGTTTCAACAGAAATTCTTATGCTACACCTCTTCAAGTAGTTGTGCCCTTCCCACACCAGGCATTCATAATATATACTGAAGTGAAAAAAATGCTGAATAGCTGCAATAGTTGTCCTGAATACTCAAGTTTATGCCAAGGTTTTGTGATCTCCAAGGGATACTTCACTGTCCACTGTAGCTCAGAACTGCCAAGACTAAAGCTAGAAGTCAAGCTGATTTTTTTCATCTCAGATTCATGTATGAATTTCTCCATTCTGCATGTTTGCATTGGGATTATCACTTTAGCATCTGATCAGACACCATTAAGCATTTTACCTGATGTCTCTGATTGTTGCTCTCTTCATTGGATCCACCTGCAGCATATGTTTTAGAAGACTAATTACAGATGGATTCAGATACTGAGGAGTATAAAAGATACCATCACATATCTTCTTAAATAGTGTTGGCACATGATCATCATCAAATGGAAGTGTTCCACATAACAAAGCATAGAGAATAACCCCACTGCTCCAAATATCTACTTCAGGACCTGCATATAACCTGGGAAAGAATTAACTATTAGTGATTTGCATTTAATACATTTAAATATTTTTTTTACTTGCTTACATTATAGCATGCAAATATGCAAATGTATGCAAGCTTGGAGCAACTGAATCTACAAATAGCATTTCGTTTCACAGTCCTATCTTATGCCTCCCGTTAGCTTCAGGGACCTTTCCCTTCCAATATATAGTAAGAGCTGGGCCACAAATGCAGTTTTTGTGTGGTGTTAAAACCCAAATATAATTTAACATCAGCAAACTGAAGGAAAGTTACATCTGCTACCAAGAAAGCTGTACAATGCATAACACTGTCAGATTACACGAAGTCCCCTGTCCTTCAAAACTAGTAAATTTAAAGTTTAAGGCAAGTCAATATAACAAGGCTTGACATATTTTCTATCCTGTTGCCTATAAACCTGGTTTCTGGTCTCCGATAAGGAGGCTATTATGTGGACTGCAAGAAAGAGACTTGAAAAACAGAGTCTAAAAAAAACCAACCAACAAAAAAAAAGGTGGGGGGGCAAGTTCAGCCACAATGGTCATTCTTCAGCAGATATTCCACTGTACTTAATTTCACAACAGATCTCTGCTTGTAATTCTATTCGTGCACCCCACTTTCTCTCAGTATCAAGTGGATCAAGTACACTAGTTTTGTAGCATTCAGCAGCAGAATGACTGAAGCACATGCACACATGCAACCAATATAAAAGAGCTACCTTCCCGAAATTACTTCTGGTGCAGCATAGTTAGGGGAACCACAGCTGGTTCTTAAAAATTCTCCATCTGACATCATATTTGATAGGCCTGAAACATAGAAGAGTAACTACTAAAAATTCAGAAAGCAAAGTGATTTCATTCATTTCACTGCAGATACCTCTTAGAATGTGACTAGTACTTTTGAGTTAGAAACTTAACTAACATACTTCTGTGAGGAAGAATAATGGTTTGGAATGACTGACATTTACAGAAGGGCATATGGCCCTGGATGGTCTCCGATTTCTGGTAAATTCTAACATCAGTCCATTATTGCATACAACCTAGGAATACTCAAAAACATACATTCACTCCAAGACACGGAAAAGGTCTTATCTTCATTGTACAGGTGTGGTAGAGAACACAGCTGCTCCAAGGCAGACGGAACAGCACAGCAAGGTAGGATTTTGGTCCTACCAAAGTTGCAATTAAAGTGTACTTTAAAATTAAGCTATCTCCACTCAACAGCCTTCAGCATGGCCTCCTTCCCCCATATCAGTGAAGCCTTTAGCATAGCTGTGGAAAATATTTCCCAGTTTTCTCAGTGAAGGTTGCATGATAAAGAAAACTCAAGCTAAGTAAGACAAGGAGGGTGAAAGAACACACATCAACTAGCCTTCACACTCCAATATAAAACGATTTCGAATAGACAAATTAATAAACTAGTTGCAATTAATGTAACATGACTGCTAACACTTGATTTACAGATAGATAAAAGTTAGTGTACTTCATGTGTTCACCAGGTAAGTTAGCTCACCCCAAAGCATTTTCTAGGCAGGAGAGAATCAATATGATTCCCAGTCCCCCTGTACTTAAACACCACACCTTTAAAACAGAATACTCAACATCACCAAGCACCTTTCACCAGGGATCTCAAAGTGATCTACAAGGGTAGGTATTATTCACCACGTCTACAAGAGAAACACTATGATTACATAGTGGTATGAATATCTTGCTATATTGTCAGGTTTCCCATTTAAGATATTCTCAAGAACTAGCTACCAGTCTCTTCAGCCACTGTGTCTAAAACAGCTAATAAAGACAATTAGGCCTTCTGACTAATTAGGCTGCTTTATCTTAAAGAGAATAGGAGATTAAGAATTACCTGCTCTCACTTTACCTTCCATGATTTACCTCAATTATATTAACCAATCAGTTTTTAGAGCAAATTTAATGGTTTAATATAACAAGTAACATATTTTACTAGAGCAATGTGGTTCTTAAACCAGCTAAAGCATCTGCATCTTACAAATAGAAAAACAGGCAATAAGACTCAATTTTGAATCAAGTGGCATAGCAGGGAACTAAGTCCATCTAGCATTTTGGAGGAAAATAGTTAAGCAAGACCAACCAGGTAGTTCACAATTTTAAGTTAAACACTCATAGGAAATGCCTGACTTGAAAAGACAGCTTAAGGGAAAAAAAAAAAAAAACAAAATTTATAAGTGTGCAAAAACACAATTTTGCTTTACATTCACTCTTCACGTTCATATATTACTTCCAACCATCAAGACATTCAAATATCCTAATTTATTTCAAAATTCCTATTATTATAAACTAAATCTGAATAGTAACAAAATAATTATCAGCTAAAGAATACAATGCTTACCAAAGTCAGCT